GGCAGAATAGCAATAAGCAGTCCATTTCCATGTAAAATTGTCCCCTGAATCCGAAAATTCCATTTAATATGGAATTGACTATATCTCAAAAACTGCTAATTTTTGACGGTATTTTCGCATTCAGGGGACAATTTTACAAAAGAATTTGATATTAAATTTTGGGATACCATGGTATTCCACGGTTAACCATGTATACAAGTGAAAAAGCATCCACTAATAACTGTAGTAATTAGCCATTTTTGACTAATTCATTTTTAGAGAGTACATAAGCATTGCCAAATCAACCACGAATGAGATCCCAGACCGGTTCGTCGGCCCGTCATTTTTCCTCTGATGATTCGCCAAAATACCCGCGAAATCGCTGCACAACGCATTGCATCGGCGTACTACATTATCCTCACTAGGCAAAGATTTGTACATCAATACATCATGGTACATCATCAATTAATTAATTAATTATGTGAGATGTCGTGAGATTTATTTAAAAAAAAACAATTTGTTTTTATTTTTTTTATATTTAAGACTAGTATTTAAGATTTTTAATATTATTAGTTAAACGTAGCATACACGGTGATAAATTTCCATTAAATTTTACTATGGGTGCATAGTATCACTGAACTAGATTATTTAATGAATATTTATTAACAGTTATTCATATTTCCTAAATAAATGTATGTATGATTTAATCCTATTTTAGTGGAGACACATTTTTTTCTTAATTTAACCCAGTTTTCTCGCAATTTTACACTGTTTCTTTTGAAAAAAAAAATTACGTGTTATTTGCCGAGACCACCTTCCCCCCGTGAGATTGAGTGATAACGAAGGTATCGCTGGATGCCAGCTGGCGTATCTATAGATATTGAAAAACTGTGTTACGGTTCTTAGTGATGCCGCGAGACGAGACGAGACGAGAAAAGTCCTTCTCTCGTCTCGTCTCGTGCAGCGAGAGAAAATGGGTCTCTCGTCTCGTCGAGAATACTCTTTTCTCGCTCGAGAGTGCCTTTCTCTCGTCTCGTCTCGTTTCTCTCGTGGTAAAAGTACCTAAGTATGAATACAAAAATTATTTGGAATGAAATACTAATTCGTTTATATATTTTTTTCTACTCCTATTACGGAATTACACCGTTCTAATATCACTTTTATCTATGGAATGACATATATTCCGTAAAGTGTTACAGAATGAAATATTCTATCATCGAATGACAGAAAACACTCGTGGCGAGATCTCTGTTTTTAATATCTAACAAACTTTAGACCGATCCAACCTCACTTTCTTCCAATTAAATTTTTTTTTTATGGTATTTTTTGGAAACGTAGAAAAAGTATAGTCTGAAAAATATACTATTATATAGAAATTTAAACTGGAAATAAAAAAAAAATTGTGCCAATACCACACCAATAAAGTAAGACTTTTTACGCCGAAAATGTTGCGCATTTGAATCAAATGGTTGGATCTATGTGGAGTAGTTACATCTAGTATTATACACAGGTCTATAATAGGTGTTTCTTTTAACTTGAGACAGCTCAATATCTCGTGAAATACGCATTTCACAGAAAAATGTCTTAAATAAAAGGTTAATGTGACCAAAGGAGACATTATTTGGTGCTACCGCTAGCCACCCCCTACCCCTCCTTAAGGGTGAAACGGGGGGTAACTTTAGAAAGTCAAATGAAATGACCCGATTTTTTCACAGAATTTGGTAGTAGATAAAAAAATGAATAACTTTTATTTGAAACTTTTTTCAATTTATCAACAGATGGCGCTGTAATTCAAAATTTAAGAAAATTGCGTTTCCTTGTAAAATGTATTATTTGAAACGTTTAAAAAACAAAAATTAACATTAAATCAACAATAGTCGGCTCTGAAAACCATTTATAACAAATGTTCAAAATGTCATCCTTTCATTTCGACACATTTTTGAATGCGGGTAATGAATTCTGGCTCCACCATGTCCTCCCGAGTTGTATACAACTGCAATTCCTATAGGAATTGCAGCGTAAACTTTTTCTTTTAAGTAACCCCACAGGAAGAAGTCTGGCAGATCGTTTTCTAGAAAATTCCGGTAATTTTCATCATTTAATGCCGTTCGCCAAAGGTACCGCACACTGGTGCTCCACTTGGTGTCGAAATGGAAGGACGACATTTCGAACATTTGTTATAAATTGTTTTCAGAGCCGACTATTGTTGATTTAATGTTCATTTTTGTTTTTCAAACGTTTCAAATAATACATTTTACAGGGAAACCCATTTTTCTTAAATTTTGAATTACAGCGCCATCTGTTGATAAATTGAAAAAAGTTTTAAATAAAAGTTATTAATTTTTTTATGTACTACCAAAATCTGTAAAAAAATGGTTATCCCATTTGACTCTCCAAAGTTACCCCCCGTTTCACCCTTAAGGAGGGGTAGGGGGTGGCTAGCGGTAGCACCAAATAATGTCCCCTTTGGTCACATTAACCTTTTATTTAAAACATTTTTCCGTGAAATGCGTATTTCTCGAGATATTGAGCTGTCTCAAGTTAAAAGAAACAGCCTGTATCGGCGCAGTAGTTTTTAATGGATCAAATCATTTGATCCATCCATCTGAAAACTACTGCGCATATATGATGTAACTACTCCACATAGATCCAACCATCTTGTACCTACTGCGCATGTCCGTCATTTTGAATCCGCAATTTTGTTTTTTTTAATGGATATCAAATTCTGAATCAGGGACCCCATAAATATCTGAATACTAAATTTTACCCAAACCATTAAAGCCGAACGACGAATTTTCGTCATATTGGATCAGCCATTTTATTAAAAAAAAAATGGATATCAAATTTGTAATCAGGCCCTCAAAAACCACATGTTGTTGATAAGTTTATTGAATAAGAAATGCTTATTAAGCCTACGGGTTTTTGTATAAGGAGTGCCATAGATGTGCTTATACAGGGTAAATTTTAAAAATTATTATTATTTTATAAGTAATTTTTTCTTGGTTAACGTTAAGTTGTGTTAACGTTAACCAGGAACAAATTTTGTTTATTATGAAATGCGAATAATGTTCTCATTGGTCCAAATAAATATCGTCATTTATGTGCAAAATTATAATTTTTATGTAAAAAAAAATTGTTTTTTATAATCGAGAGAACGAGAGAGATCGAGAGAAACGAGAAATTCTCGAGCGAGAGAGGGCATTCTCTCGTCTCGTCTCGAGCCTTTTTTCGAGAGAAAATCGCCCTCTCGTCTCGTCGAGACGAGACGAGACGAGAAGAGAGGCGAGAATCTCTCGTATCGGCGGCATCACTAACGGTTCTGAAGCCTAAGACGATTTAACAAAGAAATCTAAGAAATTTGAAGATTTATATGGTTATGATGTTGACGGAGAAAACTTAAACGAAAAAATATTAGATTTTGAATGCTAATATCCACAAGAAAAAACTTAAACCTAAAGAGATCTAGAGAGCTTCTCGAATTTATTGTACCCGGAGAGCGTCTTTTCGAATCTACATATTTTAATTCAGATACCTAATGATTACGATTGCACTATCTACTGAAACTAATACTTTTGTATTTAAGGACCTATAGCTATAGCTTTGCTCAATATAAAGCGAGAAGAAATAGACTTCGAAGAAATTATAAATCTTTTTGCGTCGCAGAAAGCAAGGAAGGAGCAATTTTAAGTTTATGATGGGCTTATTTTTGTTTTAAAAGAAAAAATAATAATGTTTTGTATGGTTTATTTTTATTTAATTTATATGTTTATTGTTAAAATATTATATTTAGATAATTTACAAAACGGCTCTGCTAAGTGAATTTTTTCATCATTCTCGATTTTGTAATAAAAATCGTAAAGTAGAGCATGCAACTAAGAATAGAAGTAAACTGTTTATTACTGTACTTTGTTTATTGTAGTGCAGTGTATACTATACAGAAAAATTATTGTCAGTTAGATGGCGCTAGACTAAAAGTTTAAAAATATTGTAGGGCGTGGTAAAATTTCGGACAATAAAGGAATTTCGTACGTATGGTCAGTGACCATTGGTCACCCCACTTTCTATGGATTTTGATAATAAATGAGAATAAATAGTTAAAAATATAAGACCCTTAAACACACCATCTTTGAGTGCTCAAGATGGGTTATGTTGTAGAGATAAGTGTGCGGAACATAGTATCCCAACTGCTAATTAACAAAGAATTATGAAATAAGTTAGAGAGATTCATTACCTAATAGGTAATACCCACATAATGACTATTCAATAGCAAGCCTAGAGACGAAGACAACATGAATTATAATTTTAAGTAGAAGACCACAGGACATTCTTTCTGAGGAAATGTTCTTGAACGTGTCCAGGAGGTATATCGAAAAATTGAAAGGGTTTGAGTGGGGCAGGGACAGAGCCACGACCGGCTCCCTATCACCACACTCCCCCAAGCGAACATTTTTCCTAAACTTTGTGAAAAAAATAATTGTATTTTATTCACTTTACCAGATTTTTAATTTTTTAAAGGAAATTGAGATTTTATATTGTAGGACTGTATTTATTTTTTAAAATAATTCTGTAAATATTATTTTCAATTTCTAATAAATCCATAGTACTTACATAGTACTTATCGTAATACATCAAGGAATCAATTTCATTATCTACAGTAATATTGAATATACCTTGTATGACGTAATTTTCCTAATATGATTACTTTTTAATTAATAATAGTTAATTAATTGATATTTTTATTTATCATTTGCAAATTGGATAATTAATTTTTTAATTAATAATAAGTAATTAATTAATTTTATCATTTTCAAATATAAATGCTGAATAGAATTTTTTGAAATGTGATGTATAAATTTTTATTGGTCTAGGAAGGTGGGCAATTCGATTCGATTTTTATTTCAAAAATTAACATTAATATTAATATTAATATTAATATGTTTCTTTTATTGTTAAAATTCGCATTTGAAAAAATTTCTTTGCGAATAAATCTCAAATTTGCTAAAGTGATGATTCTGTTTCAGGTTCAATCAACCTTTTCGTTCGGAAGCGTGTAATTGGTATTACCAAAGGTATCCCCCGCCAAAACCCTCTCCATTTCCAAATAAAATTGCCACTTAGTTGTCAACCGTATTAATGACATAAACTTCAAAATTTCTGTGTACGTTTTCAAAATTATTCTGTTATTATGGCCAAAATACCAACGGAAAACCTATTCCTTTTGGAATTTCTCGTTGATAACTTAACACTGACCAAGTGTACTGAATCCCGATGTCCACCCGGCGAAAAATGCGTCAGCTTTCAATTTCTCGACAACGCTCCATTGATGGTTTGCGAGGAAGACTTCAATCCCAAGCGGAAATACGGACAGGACGATGAATTTATAAAAAGCGGAAAATCTTGTTTGTTCTCACTAACTCCGGCCATGGCTGAAGCTGCCAGCCATGATTTTCCAGTAAATGTAAGTGTCTCCGCCAAAATGGACCCCGATTGCGACGTAGATGTTATCGAAATTGCTACCGGTGTCATACCGATAACAAATCTATTTAAAGAGCTGGTTGAATCAGTTGATAAAGATAATGGAATATGTCCGACAGCAAAAACATTAAAAGACGAGTATGATATTTTTGACGAAAAGCAAAAGTTGGGCGGTAAGATTGCTGCATTCATCAGGATGTCCTGCTTCGGAAAACTCATCATAACGCAATTCCAAATGAACATGGAGGATAAGTCCGTTCTTTTTAAAGATAGGGAAGGTAAATCTTTATACCGGTACAAAAAAGCAGGAAGTAGGAGTAGCAAATCCTGCACAATGAGAAAATCGCAAGGTGATGCCAGTGTGAAGTCTTCCGGACCTGGAGGATGTCCCACCACACCGTGTAATACTGTTAGTGATATGGGTATGGATATGAGGGGTATGCCACAAGGAAATATGTATCAACAACCGGGTATGATGCCGCAACAACAGCTCATGCCCCCAATGGGACAAGGAGTTTTTGGTGGTGGTTGTCCTAGTACTCCATGTGGAATGCAACCAGGTAATTTCTAAAGAATTTAATACCTTAAACAATTTTTTGACGCGTTCAGGTTATTATGGTTTTCCTTGATTTTTTCTTAGATATTGTAATGGTATTGCAGACAAATTATTTTTTTTATTAAAGAGCAGACAATTTAAAATATTCTTTATTATGAGTAGGTAATTAAAACATTTCACATTACGTTTAGTATAATTAAAAACTATTTCTAAACAAAACTTGAATTCAAATATTTCAAATGCGTTGACATGCTAATGAAGAAAGAAAGTATATATACAGGGTGTCTCACCAGCGATGGTACCTTAGACGTTTACGGAGAACGGCTGAGGATATCAATTTGAAATTTTTATAGCAATTATTGTACAATTTAATCGACCTTTTAAAATTATTTTGAATAAAATTCCTCTTCCGGTTTAACCGGAAGCGACATCAACTTTGTTATTTCCAATTGAACACCCTGTAATTTTTTTTATTTTTATTTCCTCATGAAATTCTTAATGAAATTGCTGTACCATTACCTATACCTAAACTTAATCCTTTTCGAGTTAATAATTTTTTTCGTAAAATTTTGACAGTTGCACCTTCATTAAAAATTGCTTATAACTTTTTTGATATTCGGTTTGCTGGTACGCTGTAAGGATTTTTGTAATCTTAAAACATTGTTTTAAAGATTCCATGTCTGAAATTTTCAAATTTATGATCAAAAACTAGAGAAAAATCGTGGTAAATTTGGTTAACTTCAAACATTAATAACTTGTTTATTTTCAATGGAACTGTATGCATGTTTTTACATAATCAAATAGGAAAATGAATTACATTTCGATTAGTATAACCATTTCCCATACCTAAATAGTAAGGTTTCGGAAATACAAGCAAATTTCTGTAAAAATCCAATATTTTGACATATTTATCTTAGATACCGATGAAATGTCACAAGGGAATCTCCCAGGCTCCGCATTTTAAAATGTTTGCAAGTCAATGGTCGCCATTTTGAACATTTATTAAAATAGTATTTTGGTTTATATTTTTTCCATCACGTTTTTTATAATTTATAATAATTAAATTCTTAAAACTTTCTTTAATTGTTGTTTTCCATTATTTTTAAAATATCTTCCTTAAGAAATGTATCAACTGTCAATCAATGACATAACTAATTTGTTGTGACATTTCATCGGTATCTTAGATAAATATGTCAAAATATTGGATTTTTACAGAAATTTGCTTGTATTTCCGAAACCTTACTATTTAGGTATAGGGAATGGTTATAACAATCAAAATGTAATTCATTTTCCTATTTGATTATGTAAAAACATGCATACCGTTCCATTGAAAATAAACAAGTTATTAATGTTTGTAGTTAACTAAATTTAACATGATTTTTCTCTGGTTTTTGATCATAAATATGAAAGTTTCAGACATGGAATCTTTTAAACAATGTTTTAAAATTCCAAAAATCCTTACAGCATACCAGCAAACCGAATATCAAAAAAGTTATAAGCTATTTTTAATGAAGGTGTAACTGTCAAAATTTTACGAAAAAAATTATTAACTCGAAAACTATTAAGTTTAGGTATAGGGAATGGTACAGCTATTTCATTAAGAATTTCATGAGGAATTTAAAAATAAAAAAATTTACAGGGTGTTCCATTGGAAATAACAAAGTTGATGTCGCTTCCGGTTAAACCGGAAGAGGAATTTTATTTAAAATAATTTTAAAAGGTAGATTAAATTGTACAATAATTGCTATAAAAATTTCAAATTGATAGCCTCAGCCGTTCTCCTTAAACGTCTAAGGTACCATCGCTGGTGAGACACCCTGTATATATATATATACCTATATACTTTCTTTCTATGTATATTAGCAAAATATTAATGGTAAATTGTAATTTGCTACTTTTGAGGATATGGTGTATTAAATCTCCAGAAAATTATTAGTAGGTATTGAAGCCATGGGTGCTAGTTAAATTTAATTAAATAATTTATAACCCTTAAAAAATCATATTTTTAACAAAATAAAATTGATTTTTAGCCAAAATTAGGAAATTTTCAAAATTCAGTCCGCTGCTAGGAGCACAATTTTTGTCCGATTTAAATGAAACTCACAAAATTTATAGCTTCATTTATCTACTTTATTGTGATAAATTTCAACGGAATAAAATACAAATACAAAATGGCAATCTAAACAACCGCGAAGTGTTAAAATAGGAGCAGCAATGTTAAATTAATTTATTTTAAAACGCTCGAAATTAACACTAGCAAATGCAAAATATGACTGAATCGTCGCCTACGGCAATCCGCTTACAATGGGGAGGGGCGATCGGGTTCACTCGTGTGTATATATTTCAAATGAAAATGCGGTAGATGTCTCTATACAAATATTTAATTTAAATAAATTTTATACAATAATAAGTATTTGTCGTAGAAAATAGTATAGGTATTATGTATCAAGTTTGATAAACGCCATTTTAGACGCGAATTTAATTTAGGCACGAGCGAGTGCCTAAATTATTGAGTCTAGAAAATTTTCTAAAAGAGTTGCATACTATACTTTTTCTACGACAAATACTTATTATTTTCTAAGAATGATTTACATTAAGTATTTGTATAGAGCACCATCTATAAAACATCTTCGTTCCCGTCAAATGTCAAATTTGTAAGTAAGATAATAAATCAAAATGTATTTCTTGAAAATGGATTAAACAACAGTTTTTCAAAGTGAAAGTAAAGAAAATGTTTTATTAGCACTTCACGGTGGAGTCCGAGCCCGACTTTAAGTTATATTTAGTTTACTGCCGGCGAAATTAAAAGGTCAGTACAATGTTCATATAAACTTTGCAAATATTGACGTTAAGAAACTATTTATTGCTTTTGTATTGAGATAATAAAATAATTTTCAAATTTAGTATTATTTTACAAGAACGGCACTTTTTTTAACGATTGTAAGACATTTGCCAAATGTCAACTAACTTAAAGCTAACTTCAGCCCGTGACTAAAACGCCATAAAGCCACAACTTGTCAATGTGTATTTAAAAGGTTACTTAGTGTCATGGAAACATGTACGATAATGGACGTTTTAAAGGTGGGAGTAGAAAAATTATATTAGGTATGTAACTCGTTTATAAACTTTTATAAACACTTATTTAATTTAAAATTCGCTCGCAAGCTCGCTTGTACCTAATTTAAATTCTTGACTAAAATGGCGTTTATCACTTTATATAGGTACTACTATTTTGTTAAAAGGTGGTTTTTAAAGGAAACAACTTTATAAATGTTTATAATTTAATTTAGTTTAATTAGGACCCATATGAGCTATTATAGCTCAACAATTATTGTAAAATAAATTATAACAAATGTTAAAAAAGCCCACAATGTATCATACAGGGTACATGGTGGGCTTTTTTAACAGTGGTTCAGGTACTCATCTCATTTTGTCAAAAATCGATTTATCGGTTTTTTTTTCAAAGGGTGCAGATATATGCTATAATTGATTTCAGGTATGGGAATGCCGCCCGGAATGCCCCCAAACATGGGTGGCTTTCCGGGAATGCAAGGCATGGGAGGAATGCCACCGCCAAACATGGGGGGACCACCAATGATGGGGGGACCTCCAATGATGGGCGGACCACCAATGATGGGAGGACCACAGATGATGGGCGGGCCACCGATGATGGGCGAGCTCACGATGATGGGCGGGCCACCTATGATGGGCGCACCACCAGTGATTGATACCCCATGTTTAGAATGCGGAGGAATGATACGAGCTCCTTGTGGACCCCAAGGTGGAATGGGAGGAATGCCTGGCGGAATGGGAGGAATGCCTGGCGGAATGGGGGGAATGCCTGGCGGAATGGGAGGAATGCCTGGCGGAATGGGAGGAATGCCCGGCGGAATGGGAGGAATGCCCGGCGGAATGGGAGGAATGCCCGGCGGAATGCCTGGTGTAATAGGTCCCACCTCTCAAACGGGAGTTACTGTAGTCCCATGTAATGAATGCGGGTCTTTACCTAATCCTTCATGTGCATCACCTGGTGGAGTTGCCGGTGGTATGGGAATGGATATGGGAGGCATGGGTGGTATGGGCGGTATGCCTGGCATGGGTGGTATGGGAGGGATGCCTGGCATGGGTGGTATGGGAGGGATGCCGGGCATGGGTGGTATGGGAGGCATGCCTGGCATGTCTCCTGCTCAAGGGACTCCCTGTGTTGATTGCGGTAATGATCCTCTTGCCCCATGTGCAGGTGTAGCGGAGGTAAGTGCACCTGCTGGTCCTCCACCAGGAAATTACCAAGAAATTGGAGCGTCAATGGGTGGAAATTCTTTAACGATAAGAATACACAAGGATAATAAAGTGGAACAAGTTGGAGAGGACGACAATTGCGGTTGTGGCGATGGGAAGGGAGACCAGAATTTCAGTATGAGACCAGGCGTGACTAATAAAAACACAAACGAAACATTCCCCTTTAACTTAAAAATGGGTTCGTCGGGACAGGCTCCCAACAATAACGTCACAGTGAACACACCTGTTTGCTCAAAACCGGACGGTACGCAATTCACCGAACTTTCCGACCCCAACAAGGAGACCTTTATTTTACGTATAGGAAAAAAGACCGAAGGCGTCGATAAAAAGCAGAATTTGGAATTAGAGTTGTGCACGCCACGGGGCCCCGAACTAAAACCGATACCGAAAAAGGAAACGCGAGACACGCAGTACGATCCTAAAGACGCCGGACCAGCTGGAAAGAAGGGAAAGGGAGGCAAAGGGAAAAAGGGTGGCAAAGGGGGAAAAGGTGGGAAGGGTGGAAAGGGTGGAAAGGGCAAGGGTAAGAAGAAGTAAACCTCTAAACGAATTGCATCAGAAAAATGTGAACTGAATACACTATAACCCCACTCCACTAAAATTATCAAACACCGGCTGACGCGCATATGTACGCGTGCTTTAGCCGGCGCTTCTTAGTATAGTCTGAAACATGGACAGTGTTGGTTGTGCTTGAACTTTTTTAGTGTTTTGTGAATGTTGGTATTAACACATCTGCATGTAGTAATTGAAGGTAAAACCATATAACTTTATCTAATAAAATGTGTTGCAATTTATAATTTTAGCATTTTTCCGACCATAATATATTAGGTATATTTAATAAAAATACATAGCAAATCAAAATATTATGAATTATAAAATAAGCAAATTAAAGCTTTTGTTCAGAGATATATCTCTGCTTTTGTTGCGTCATGTCAGTCGGTCTTTAGGAAGTGTCGTTTATTATAGGAAAGCACGCTTCAGGATTGCATCATGATTCATGCATTTTAATATTTCGTTATAAACTTTATTTATATTTAAGCACTTGTTAAAGTTACGCACGTGCTTAATATTGCAATGTTTCCAAAATATTAATCACGTGGTCGACCTAACCTCGCCAAATCAAATACCTAATAATTTTATAAAATAGACAAATATGTGTTATCTTTGATAAAAACGTATAGTAAATAAACATAATTTGTTTGTTCATGTAACCCATGATTTTGTTTGGCGTCTACATTATAAAATACCTACTAACGATGTTTCCTAGAATATTTTCCTACAGGTAATAATCATTTTATTACCGATCGATATTTTTATACTAGAAATACCTGTAGTAATGTGGTAGACTTGGACTCATTTTATTCATAAAAAAATTGCTACTACTCGTAGATAAAATGTCTCGGGTGCATCTGCGACATAATTTTTGTAAAATCTATAAAATTGGCGCCATGCTTTCACTAAGCCACACGATAAATTATTACGTCGGGAAAACCCACGTGTGAAAAATTTACCTGAAAATTTTGTGAGATTTTTTATAAAAAAAGATTCTTCTTAAAATTTGTTATGCATTCAAGTTTTTAAAATTGTAATGAAGGCATTACAATTTATAAGGTGCTAAATAATTACTTACGTGTACCTATGCAAATGTAAAACTAATAAAGTACCTACGTGTTATTTTTTTTCAAATGTTTTATTATTTATTCTATAATTAAATATTGTCTGGTTATAGTAATATTTTTTAGATTACTTAGGTATTGATAGACTTATTTTTTCTTTTCGGTTAAATATAAAATTGCTTATCTTTATTTTCTAAGTAAAACCCCAAGCTTTTCTGATAATCTTGATAAGTCCTTCCGTTAATATTTTAAAATTAAAATATAATATATTACTATCCATCAATGGTGTAAATTGAACACACTTGATCAATATATTTGTTTTCCTACTAATTTGCGCTTGATATTGCAAAAAATTTAAGAAAGAAATTAAAGGCGGTTCATGTTTATTTACATTTTTTAAACCATAGGTAGGTTTATGTTTTTATAATGTTTACATCGTTAATTTTTTATATTTATAATTAAGACTTAGGAGTTAATAGTTGTAAATAATTATTTAAAAAAGGTTTTAACGTAAAATATTTATAGATAAATAAATTATATTTTAATGCATTATCATATGTTACTTAAATAAGTGCGTTTATATTGTTTATCACGCTAAAGGTATACAGTACCCAGTGTTCCCACGTTACACAAACACCGGTATGAATCGAAAACTCGTCAGATCCGCGCATCTGACGTCACGTGCCAACCAGATTCAAACGTTTTGCATATGCACGGTAGCCGAAAAAACTAACCTATCGGATTTATGGGTTAAAATGAACCTACATACCGAGCAAAAAATTTCCCTGCAAGGCAAAATTTTTAGCTCAATTTTAAAAGGTGTCGGTGAGCATTTTAAGTTTTCCATTGAGATAACACGTCTTCTTTTTTCATTAAAAAGGCTATAACTTTTGAACCGTTTGAGATAAAATTTTTTACGTCGCGGATTCTTGTAGAGCATAAAATTTTCCAAAGAATCTATACCAGGATTATTTTTTTTTATTCAAAAATTCGTATGTTTGAAAGCTTTGAAAAGTGTAAAAAATCACTAGAACTGCAGTTTTAGTGATTTTTTACACTTTTCAAAGCTTTCAAACATACGAATTTTTGAATAAAAAAAATAATCCTGGTATAGATTCTTTGGGAAATTTTATGCTCTACAAGAATCTGCGACGTAAAAAATTTTATCTCAAACGGTTCAAAAGTTATAGTCTTTTTAATGAAAAAAGATTTTTTTACGTGTTATTTCAATGGAAAACTTAGAATGCTCACCGACACCTTTTAAAATTGAGCAAAAAATTTTGCCTTGCAGGGAAATTTTTTGCTCGGTATGTAGGTTCATTTTAACCAATAATAGGTTAGTTTTTTTGGCTCACCCTAATGCACGGGTATTTTGAAAGTACTATTTTCCCACGTTTTTCATTGAGTTTTTTTGCAATTATTGTCTTTTAATAACTTTTCCAGAAATAAGCCACTTACGGGTGTTTTACCACTTTATCCGTTAAGTGTTTGCTGCTTTTGTTGGCCAGCACTAACTAAGGTTAGAATTTATTTGATATATTTACAAGGCATAGGCCACGCACGGTTGTGGATTCCATTTAAAGTGCTTCTTAAACTTTAAGCAGATCGTCCATATATTTATAAATTTGTGAATTTTGCAAATTTTGGTTCGCACATGACGTCACATAACATAGCATCAGCATGTCGTTCTTAGTGTATCGTGAGATTTCCAAACGCCTTGAAAGAGGGTGGGGATCATTTGGGTTTTGCATTTGTATGGCGTAGGTCAGGGTCATGTGCAGTATTAGCGCCTGGGTAAATAAATAAAAATTTATAAAAAATCTACTTACTGAGATATTACTTCACGGTGGATGGGTTTTTAAATAGCAAATTAATGAACTTAAACTTTTGAATTATAAAACAGCATCTCTTATCTGCATATAAATTCTAACTGACCTAGAGGAATCACATGCATCTATAATGTCGTAAACAGAGGTTTTTGCTTATTTAAAATGATTAAAGTGCCATCCGGTGCATAAAATTTAAAGCAAAAGCAGATTCACGGAGGATAGAATCAATTTTTGTTACACCTACATAAATGGTTATAAAAATTATTTCTTTTAATTTTTTTATAATATTTTATATTTGATTCAATTGCTTTGGATGTGTTTAATTTACTTAGTGAACTGATATTTTTAGTATGCTTTTACTACCTCAGATATTTGAAAACATATAGGTTAACCCAGAAAGAGTAACAGTCACGGAGGATAGGTTTTAGACTTTTAAAACATTGTAAAAAATAATTAGTTGCGGTTAAAAATCTGGAACCTGAGCTGTAATATCTACTTAATTATGAAAGATCAATACACAATAAAAAACTCATTTAGATTTATTAAATATCACGGGGTAACACCATCGGGGGACATTTCGTGAGATTCACCCACATATATTATTTATTAAATTATAAAAATTGGTAAATGCAAAAAAATGAAACCCTAAAAATTTTTTTGCCAGCACCTTTTCCGGTATAAGGGCCCCTACCAGATTTTTGATACAGGGCCCCCTCGAGGCTAGCTACGCCACTGAAGTTTATATTTATTACGAAAATAGCTCACTAACTCTTCAGGGTAAACTTGAAAAATTCCTAGGAATAACGAAGCTATAAGGATTTTTTGTTTTGACAGGTTTTTGTTTTTTTTTAATTATTTGAGAACCGCTGTTTTTTCTAATTTTCAAAATTTATTTTAATAGGCTTGTTATTACGCAACAGTTTTCCGACATAACTCTTTAAATAAAACCATGGAGGTTATTTTAAGCAAATAAAATCAGTAAGTTTTTTATTGTCTTTAAAAAACGCATTAAAAATGGATCATTGCTAGTGTCAGGGTCAGAATATATTTTTTCTTAAATCAATAGTATTTAGTTAAAGTAGAAAGATCGTTATACACAATATTAAAAAAAATAATGTCCAGAAAAAAATATGTTTATGTATTAAAAATTATAAAAATTCATGGTTTTCGTAATTTAATTTTGAAATGTCCATAATACTATAGTATCAAGTTTGATAAAAGTAACAAATTCTAGAAAAGTTTGTAAACAAGTTCCATACTATTCCTTTCTGTAAATTCGAAATTTCTTCCTTAATGTTCTAACAACAGTTTAATTCCAAAATAAAATTTCACAGTAAAAGTGTTAGGGGTACTCCACCCGCACTTATTAATGCCTTATCGGCAAATACTAGTTTGCATGTAAACTTTTTAAAGATTGGCGTCAACAAACTATTAAATAATTTTCTATTTTTGTATTGAGATAATTAAATAATTTCTACATTTTAGTATTACTTCACAAGAAGGGCATGAACAATAATGGGTGGGAGTGGAAAAATTATATTACGTTTTTTTAATTATTAATGAATTAATTTTATTGATTTTCCGACTTCTAGAGACAATAAATTAATAAGGAATATCCGGTAATAACCGGTGTAAAGGTAATTATTATCTTTTTTAATGTTATCCTTGATTCTAACCTATTTAACTTTGTAACGTTATAAACGCGAAACTTTATTAATCTAATCATTCCATCCTGTTCAGTTGAATAATTACTAATCACCCGACTGAAAATTATGAAGGATTATATTACATGATATGTGGATACTTTTACTGTTTCTTAATCTTGTTTAGGAAACCCTACGAATTCCATACGATGCACGTAAGGCAAAATGAGGTATTTACGGCGACAAAAGTAAAAAAAACAGAATACAATAATATTCGTTTATTTACATAGCAAAATGTTCCCAAATATTTAAAACCTTAGAAACAACAAAAAAATTGTAAAACGGATAAAGACAGGGTTGAAAAAATGTCATATTGTTCGCGTGTTGTCAGGTAGTCGTGCGCGCAACCTGTATTTTGCCAAATTTAGTGCTAATACATTGTGTAAATTTGCAGTCACCGCGAAGTAAATCTAAAACTTTTAAAATGGAGGTGTTACCATGTTGTAAGTACTTTAAATCAACGTATATATTAACGATGTAAATCTAATTTCTCTATGTGAATTATTCAATTATCTAAACAGAGTAAAATTTGCATTGTTTAGTTTATTATTAAACTTGATAAAAGGTTATAAAAAAAGTTTCGCAAAGTTTCGCTTTGAGCGC